CAGTGCCCCAGGCGTCTTGTAGATTGCCATTAAGATGTTTGACTTGGAGACCTACTGTTGCCAAGGCCTATGGTGGAGTGGTGATCAAGTAATTCCCATCATTTCTTCATTAGTGGTTATATTTATTTTCGGTGACAGTGACAAATATTTTGGATCATGGTTTTAGGCATTTCATTCCATGATCAGTTGACTGTGTAGCCTTGGGGCCTATGCAAGGTGGAGCCTGAGAGTGGAGGAGGAAGCTACTCACCTCTTGGGAGCCAAGAAGTCACAACAAGGAGAAGGGGGCACAGTGCCAGTATCTTTTCAGAAACATGACCCCAGAAACCTAATATCCTTCTGTTACCCCATTTGAAGATTCTACCCCCTCACCATAGAGCCTCCTTCAGGGGACGGGGTGGACCAATGCTTTGACGCATAGGCTTTGGGGTACATTTTCTATCTTCACCATAGCACTGATCATCTTTCTGGTCACTGGCGAGGAGCAAATGTGAAAAATGATTTTCCCCTTCTGGGCTGATGCTAGAGAAACAAGTTCTGTCCCTGGTCATTCCTGACACTCATGCTGGGAGAGAATAGAGGGCGGAACCCTGTTGACTTACTCATAACAAGCACCGCTGCATGCCTGCTGTGGGCCTTGCTGGCTCTCTGATATTCTATTGTGATCTCATGGATCAGCTGCAGAGAGAGCTGCACTCAGACACTTTCAAGGTGTGGGGTTGAAAAGCTAAAGTGGTTTTTGTTTTCAAGAATGAAAGCCTTCCTCCCAGACAGTGAGTAACGGAAGTAGCAGCTGGCAAGCTTGCCTGAGCTTCTCACACTTGAGACTTGCATGGAGAAATTTGTCACAACCTTCAACCTTGGCTGAACCCCAGAGTCAGTCAATTAGGAACAGGGTTTATTAATTAACTATATTAAGGACAAGAGGGGCAAGTGAAGGTATAAGCCTGGAGAGAGACCTGAACGTAGATAGGTAAAGATGGAAGAGCTTCAATTCCATGTAGTTGTGTTCCGAACCTCTACTCGTGTGCCCTGGCTTACCCTACTCTGTCCCCATAATAATACTAAATAGTTTACAAAAAAGCGGGAGCCAGCTAAATTCTGATTTAGGTTGATAATCATTTAGACATAAGCGTTTGAGATATTTATGGTGGTGTATTGATATTAGGGCTGGAAAACAATCAGGGACACTGTTTTTTGTATAACACACACATTTCTCCTGCCTTTCCTGCCATTTTGGCCTTTCTGTCTTGGTGACCCAGTTGTAACTCATGGGGCTATTATTTTTTTCTTTTTGGTTGGTGGGTGAAGCAGAATATTTAAGAATCAGAGGACTTAAACAGTTTTAGGCACAGTCCAGGTTGAGAGTAGTTAACAAGATGCTTCTCAGTCCCACTGATGTATATTCATTATACGTGGCCCCAGGTTACACAAAGAGACTTTCATATGAATATATAATGTCCTTTGTGTATATTCTAGTCCTGTACCCATGCCTTTCCCTTCCTGTTAGCTGCCCTTACTCCCCTAGATAGTTTTGGTTTTACTTTAATATCATATTTGCATACATGATTTTACATGACTGTAAAAATTGGGAGCCAAAAATGAGAAAAAAAAATGTGGCAGGTGTCTTCCTGAAATGAACTTAATTCACTTAATACAATCAGTTCCAGTTGTGTCCACTTTCCTGCAAATCATAGAAAATTGTTCTTTGTAACTACAAAGAACTCCATTCTTCATGGTCAACACACTTTCTGAAGATGGTTTTACGTCCTGTTGACATTGCTGGGATCTAAGGACTCTGTAGAGAGGGCCTGGCCCCAGCCCCTCTAACCTTGATACACCCCAACCCTCCTGTCAGGCAAGGGATGCAGCAGAGAAGACATACTTCCAGACCCTCCCTCTGAGAACGCTTGCCAGCTGTGTCATCGTGGACTGAAAGCCACATGGTCTGGGCACTTTGCTCATGAACAGCTGTGGGCTGTGTGAGCCCCTGCCAGAGTGAGGCCAGGAGGAAGGCAGGCATGCTACAGCTTCCCCAGCTCATCCTGGGAACAGCGCGCCTCAGGGGCCTGCTGAGGGTCACGCTGCTGGTGTGTGGACCTCCCTTTGATTAGCAAGGAACTGAGAGGAGTCCTACTGTGTGGGTTAGCTGTGAACTGTAAGTGCAGTCATCTCTCTTTATAGACAGAGAGTTCTCCTTTCCAGCCTGAGAATAGACGAGCCTCCTACCTCTTGTTTAACTCTGGTCGTGAAAACTGGGAAGTCGGCCGCCTCTCTCCTCAGTTTCTTCAGGTTCTGTTTGTCTTCAGTGGCATAGAAACATGGACGAGGACAGAGCAGGGGATAATGGGCTGTGTGGGCTGAAAGAGGATGGCGAGGGCCAGGCTGCAGATGTTTTAAATTAAGGTGGCTCACAGTGATGGTGCCTCCTTTGGGCTTCTAGAGTTTATCAATGAATAACAGAGTTTTAGATATGAACTCACAGAAATTTATTATCTCCCCGTAGATCGCAACTGCATTTTTAGGAGCGTTTTATTTCCCAGGTGAGATAGTTACCTGTCTCATTACTGTGATATTACCTGATAGAAGCATCTGGAAGAAGGAAGGATTACATTGGGCTCACGGTTTGAGGGTGAACAGTTGCCGTATAGCATAGGTTAGCCTGAAAATCAGTGTCCTCCTGCCCCTGAGTGCTGTGATTACAGGTATGAGCCACCATACCATGCCTGGCCTGAGCTGTACCATGAGTTCCTCATGAATAACGGTCATGTAAGGTTATCCAGTTCTATGTAAGCATCTATTCTGTCGTCCCAGAGGGGTTCCTTCCTCTCCTCCCCAGCTTGTGCTTCACCGTGTTCTTTGCACACATCATGGCAGGGAAGGCATGGCAGCAGCTGGTTGCGTTCTATCTGCTCTTAGGAATCAGAGTGATGAACGTTGGTGCTCAGCTTGTGTTTTCCTATTGAATTTAGTATAGGACCCCAGGCCAGAGAATGATGCCACTTACATTTAGGGTGAATCGTCCCCCATCAATTAATCTCCTCTTGAAGTTCCAGCACATGTGCCCAAGAAGTTTGTCTCTCAGGTGACTTGAAACCCTGTCATGTTTACAATTACCACACCAACAGAGGATGGATTTTCGCCAAGAGGATTTGCCCCATCTCTCCTCCCTACTAGCCAAGAATAGCACTGTCCTCCACTGCTGTGCAGCAGGTGGTGTTGATGGTAAAACCAATGAAAGTTCCTAGTGACAAAACCCCTGGGTAGACACTTCCCAACACACAGCAATGTAGAAATATACCTGTTTGCCAAATGCCCGGTTAAAATGGAGACAGTTACCGAGGTAGGAACTTCCAGGAGAATTCTGTTTGTCTGGCATGGATTTGAAGATTGGTGTCCACTTATATTTTCTACTCACTAGCAAACGGACTTCTGTGCCGGGAAGGGTTTACAAAGGTACACACTCCGTCCTGACAGCGTCCACTGTTGGGGAAACACAGACATTTAGATGAATGTAAAAACAACTCCTAAGCCAACTTCCCGGGTTACCGGCCACCACCTGGTCTATTTTCTCTGTAGCACTTCTTGTGAAGTGATGGACCGAGTCCTTGCTGGTGTCTCCTAAGAACTTCCCAGTCTGCCTCTTGGCCATCAGTTGTGTGACTGTGTGCTGCCCAGAGGGTGTGAAAGGATCTGTCTCCAGCCCCGATGCTCTCTGGGGCTGTCTACAGCCTGCAGCCTCCAGAATCTGTGTGTAGGCCAACTGAGGCAGCCACAACTGTTCTCAAACCTAATTACCCCATTTTCTGGTTACAAGGTGGATCACTGGGTCCCACCCAGGTGGTTCTGATCCAGTAGACCTACTACATGGTCAGAGAATTTCTAGTAATTTCTAGGTCATGGTGATGCTGCTGTTCCTCAGAGCACACAGAAGAACCATAGGGTGGGTCCTCAGTGTGCCCCACTGTCTCTGATGCATGGGTTGAGATGGGTGATGACAGGCTCAGAAGCTATGCAGTGTCTCCATGAGGGAGAGTGGGACCTGAAAGGGGCCCCAATAGTGGGACTGAAAAGCAAGAGAGACCACACCTAGGTGACAGCAGAATTCCTGGGCTTGGGGAGAAATGTGACAAGGAGTGATAAGGAGTAAATGAAGCCCTTAGGCAAGGAATGTGAAGAACACAGGTGAGACGGTGAGACACAGGCCTGGGAGGGGAAGAAGGTCCTTTGAGACAAGAGAAAGTAGATGTTTAAGCCACACCGGAGGATTCTGCATGAATCTAAAAGAGGCTAAAGTTAGCAGTGCGACTTGGCGTGATGCCACTTACGTGTAATCCCAGCACTCAGAGGCAGAGGCAGGAGGGTGATAAGCTTCAGGCCAGCCTTGGCTGTATAGCAAGACATATGTCAAAATGCGGAGTTATCAGCAATAACAGAAAACTCTAGGAGAGATATAGATTTCGGCGTCTTCAAGACTGTGGTTTAAGCTGACACTATGGGACTAGACAGGCCTGATGAAGAGCCTCTCAGAAGAGCTGAAGTATGTGGTACTCAGAAGAAGCCAAGAACTGGGCTGGAGAGAGGGCTCCGTGCATAGGGATCCTTATGCAAGCATGAAGACTTGAGTTCAGATCAGCATCCACACAAAAAAGGTGGCCATGACCGTGTGTGTGCCTGTCAGCCAGCACTGTCCAGGACAGAGGCAGGAGGATTGCTGAGGCTTGCTGGCTGCCAGCCTAGCTTAGGGCCCAGTGAGAGACCTACCTCAAAGGAATAAGACCAGATGCCATCCTTTGGACTCCTCATGAATATGCAAGGATGTGTATACTCTCTCACATCTATGCATACACCACGCACACACAAGGAAAAATGTGAGTCAAGAACACTTTTTGCATGGGGGTCTTTAACTGTTGTGTAGTGATTTAGAATCATCTGTGACTAGTTTCTAAGGATGCCATGTCCAGGGACACAGACACACTGACCTGTCTCTGTCTTTGCAGTTCTGTACAGAGCTAAACCAGCCGATCCTGCCCAACATCCGAAAGTGGAAGGGGTCCCGAGGGTGCTGGCGGTCTGTTATTGCTGAGAAGCCTTCGAATCAGCTCCAGAAGGTACTGTCCTTGCATAACTGCCCTGGGTGTTTTTGTTCTTACACACAATATTTTCCATGGATCAAAGGCAATTTATATTTTCAGCTTTTAATAGCCATGGTTCATTTTCACCTATCTGCCCTAACTTTTAATCCTTTCAAATGCCCTAGGTCTCACTTTTTTAACATTCTTTTTTTGTTTTTATTTGACATATATATATATATTTCTCTGCTCTCCTCCCTTTCTCCCCCTCCCCTTCTACCCTCTTCCTTGATCCCCATGCTCCCAATTTACTCAAGAGATCTTGTCTTTTTCTACTTCCCATGTAGATTAGATCCATGTATGTCTCTCTTAGGGTTCTCATTGTTGTCTCAGTTCTCTGGGATTGTGAGTTGTAAGTTGATTTTTCTTTGCTTTATGTATAAAAGCCACTTATGAGTGAGTACATATTATATTTATATTTCTGGGTCTGGGTTACCTTGTCAATATGATGTTTTCTAGATCCATCCATTTGCCCACAAAGAAGAACCACATCTTCTTTATCCATTCTTCAGTCAAGGGGCATTTAGGTTGTTTCCAGGTTCTGGCTATGACAAATAATCCTGCTGTGAACATAGTTGAGCACATGTTCTTATGGTATGATTGAACATCCTTTGGGTATATGCCCAAGAATGGTATTCCTGAGTCTTGAGGTAGGTTGTTTCCTAATATTTTGAGAAATTGCCATACTGCTTTCCTTTATATTTTGATCAGGAATGCATTGCTGCCCAGATAGAAATGGGAGTTTAGCATCTTGGGAAGAGAAATCTTGGTTGGGGCCACAGCATACCTGCATTTGTCTGTATGTTTGTCCATTGTCCTTGTAATCTCTGGGTCACAGCTTTCTCTGTCCCCTACTAAGTCTGCAGAAGCTCATTATTAACTGGCTGAGAATTCATGTAATTCGCACATGGAACATTGCTTTCTGTGGTGAAACTTAGGCCCTGGGAGACGCTTTGTTGAGATTTCCTTCTCTATCACCCCTGAAGATGTAGGTGAATCTGCCTGTGTGTGTTTTCATTCTCACATGTGTACGTGACAGACTTACCCACCTTGGAATGTTTATGGTATCAGGCTCTTGGGTTTTAGGTGTTTGGGGGGAGTGAGGGTAGAGGTGGTCATCTAGTGTCTTCCTCCATTGCTCTCTGTCTTTTATTTTCTTGAGACAGGATCTCTCAGTGAACTATAAGCTCACAGATTCAGACTGGGTAGTCAGTGAGCTTCAGGGAATCCACTGTCTCTGCCTTCTCCCCCAACACTGGGGTTGTAGGCACAGGCCACTGCGTCCAGCTTTTTAGGTGGGTTCTGGGCTCTGAACTCAGGTCCCTGTGCTTGGGTAACAGGAACTTTATTGACTGAGCCATTTCCCTAACCTAGGTTCTTATATTTTTAAGAATATTTCTTAAAATTACTTGAGTTGAAAAATATTTTTATGATTTTTTGCACAAATGCCGATGTTTTTAAGGTTCTGATATACCTCTTCAGCTACAACATTATAAATTGTATTTACGTGATGGATACTTGTAATTGGAGCTCTTAAATTATCAATGTAGACTGAATTAAAGTTATCTGTCCACTTATTTGTATTGACTGTAAGCCCCTCCTCTTTTCAGTGACTACTGAAAACTGTGTGTCGCTGCTTTCCCTGGGTTTGCTGTTTAGGAGGGGGAACATCCTCACAGTGGACAGTGAGTTCACAGTGGGCTGAAAGGAACTCATGCAGGATGCATTTGGTTTTCAGAACATAGCCCAGGGCCCTTCTTTCAGTCCACACAAAAAGCAATGCCACATTGCTTTATTTTTTTTTTATTTAAGAATTTCACATGGATATCAGTGTGTAAAAGATCATATGACTCTTAGAGTCCATTCATCTTTATTCACTCATTCAGCAAACCGTTCAAGAGAGGTTATTTGTGTATGTGTGAGAAAAGCAGACCAGCAGACCAGCCCTATCTGCTACCTCTCTCTTTAAGAACCGCTGGATACTACAGCCTCTTTCACCAAGTTACAGCCACTTAGTGGAACAAGTCAGCTCACGTTACTTTAGGTGGGGAGCCAAGGCCATTAGGAGGGCTCTTGGCCTTAGTTATGCCATCTGTAGCCCCTGCCTTCGCTCGCAGGAGAGTCCCAGTATAGGAGGAGATAGTGAGTGCTGGGGATGCTCCAGTACCGGAGCACAGACCAGGGCTGCAGCCATGTCTAGTCCTGGCCACCACTTATCATGGAGTATTTTGAGTTCACTGGGTCTGAGTCACCCAGATTAGTGGCATGTGCAGTTTCTTTAATTTTGAAGATGCATAGATCCAAGAATTAATTTTCAACGCAATGTGAGTCAAGCATCATATATCCATGGCCATCTACAGTTTATATGCTGACCAGCTGTTGTGTCTCCGAGGCCTGGAGTCATATCCAGGTACCAACTGGAGGGCCAGTTTCCAATGAGAAAGCAGAGAAATGGGGGAAGAAATGATTTTCCCCAAAGCAGGCCCCTGTGATTGGAAGGGCAATCTGTCCTGAGTCCAGTGAGCTGTCTCGGGCATACGCGCTTTTCTATGGCTATGTCCATCCTGGCATACATAATATGACCTAAGTCATATTTGGGACCTGTGCCTGGGAGAGGGTCAGAAGGAAGATGTGTGCATGAGAAAGGTCCAGAGTAGCTGGGCTTGTGTTAATCAGGCCTGAGGGGGTGCATTGGAAAGGAGTCGTCTCAGGACACCCCCTCCTCCCATGCCCTGGAGGATTGTGGGGCTGGGGTGGTTTTCAGGCAGATGGCATGAGTGATGCCCGAGGAAGCTTGCTCTGGATCTTCTCCTCGGAGAACAGTTAACACAACAACAGCCTCAACTCCAGAGCCCACACAGTGGCTTCATTCTCTCTGTCTTCATGAGTCTTAGACACTCTGAGGGTCTTGCCTGGGTCCCACGGTTCCTGGGCACAGCTGGACTGAGACCAAGGTGTGACCATGCTTAAACTAGTTCCTGCTTTAGTGGTGGGCAAGGGGATCTTGCCCAGCATAAAAGACTCACATTCGTGTTCCCCCTACTTCTGTCCTGAATATGCCTGTTCAAGGGTACCTGCCAGATGTCTGTCCGGGATCTGAGTTGAAGTTGTCTGTGTGACAGCAGCTGTTCGGAGGTGGCCAGGGTTACTTCAACAAAGAGGATCAGTGACACATGCTGCTGGCCTGGTGGCCTGCTGACCTGTCCCTGGTATCAGGCACTTAGGAATGCCCTGGTGGCCAGCAGTGGCTCAGCTGGAGTAAACAGACTGAAGCTTTTCTTGTTCTGCAAGCTCCCAGAGACAGGGGAAGAAGTAGGTAATATGGAAGCTACTTCTATGATTCCTAAAGCCAGAATGTGGCCCAGAACTGTGCCCACTGCACCCTAGGTTTGTCTGCACCTCTTCATCAGGGCCTCTGAACCAGGCTTCAGACCTGTGTGCATCCCTGCCCATTTATGTGCAGAGGGCCCCTGTTAAGTTTCAAGTCACTAGAACTATTAGGCCTGACTTCTGTTAGTCCTGCAAATACCAGGTGAGAAATGGCTGGGTGCTGGGCACCATTTCTATAAGCAGTGACTTATCAACAAGCAATACCTGCTTCTCAGGGTCTTATCTTTGAACCCTCACATTGGCACTTATGCTGCGGGGCTTTAGGTAAGTTACTCAATCTCTCTGAGCAGCACTGGCCTCATCTGTCAAATGGAGATGTGAGCTGTTGCCTTGTGGCATATGAGGGTTTAAAAGTGATTCTGGGCCTGTTCTATGCTCCCCTGACCTCCTGTTATAGAGGGAGGAGACAGGCAGCCTTGGCCATGAGGAAAACACTGCATGGGCATGGGGGCTAGGTGCCTTGTGGTAACACCCTGTGTGAGTGACCTTGAAGCAGAGCCTGCTGCTGTGTGTGTTTGGTCTCTGCTCTTCTCTCTGTTGTGTGGCTCTTGAATTATGAACCTTGTACCAAGACCCTGTTTCCATCTACACTTCAGGGCCCCTGCTACTCTGGATTCCTGTGGGACACAGCAGCCAGTGTGGAACTGAGGGACATCCCCGGGCAGGAGAACTCACCCAGCAATGGTCATGGGAAGGCTGAGGGTCCGAGCCCATTCCTCGCGAGATTCAAGGTACTTGGTTCTGTCATTTCAGAAATCCAGTCCCTTCCAAAAGGGAAGTCTTTGTGACACCGGGACCCAGAGAAGTCACATCTTCTCACTTGATTTGTTTTCTCTTAGAGACGGATCAGTGCCCATTCTGGAGGCTCCCCCAATAGGGAACCTTCTACAGGACAGGAGTGAAGGGATTTTTGAGGAAGACAGTCACGTGGGAGGAATGATACACTTTTGTTTTCTCAGCAGAAGGATGGCTTGAGTCCAGGAGTTCAAGACCATCCTAGGCAGTGTAACAAAACTCCTCACAAACAGGTAGATAGATTGATAGACAGACAGCAGACAGACAGACAGACAGACGGAAAGGAGGAAAAGTGGAAAACTAATTCATATGGTTGTTCCCAAACACGATGTACAGCAGAATCACCTTTCTTAAGATCAGGCATTCCTAAACTTTGCCCTTCTGGGATGGAACCCAGGCCATTTTCAGAAGTGTGGGCAGCGGTCCTACCTGCCTGGTACTAGTTAGTGTGTGCAGTGGTGCTACCTGCCTGGTACTAGTTAGTGTGGGCAGCGGTCCTACCTGCCTGGTACTAGTTAGTGTGTGCAGTGGTGATGTTCTAAGGAGCCCCACCTTTTCAGCTGCCCCTCAGGTCTCATTGTTTAGATGACAGAAAGAAGGGGCCCATTGAGAGCTTAGAAGGAGTTCTGGGCTTACGGACTTCTGACACTGGCTTCTCAATCTACATCCTTGCTCGTGAAGGAGCCATTTCACCCGTGTCTGGGAACAGCGAGGCAGGTGGATCTGAGTACCATCCTGCTGTGGCCTGCATGCCTCTGGGGAGAGTTCTGAATAGCAACATGCTTTGATGCTGGACAACACACGGGAGAAGAAGCCAGAGGTCACTACAGAGGGAATGAACCTCATCACTGCTTAACTGTGAATTCCAAGACAGACAGCTTGATCCTTTGCAAGAGCCCAGGAAGCCCATTCTCTGCTAGGCACTGCGAGTCTTTCTTTCCCTTGTTCCTCAGCAACTCTGGAGCTTACCCTAAGCTCAGCACCATTTAGCTCTAGCAGGGTGGGCCTTGGGGACAGCCTTTGGCATGGGATGTGTAAGTCCAGGTGTCATCTCTCACATTTGTAGCTGCAGCGGTTAAGGGATTGGTGTATGTTCACATGCAGATGTGTCTGTTGTGGTACTCAAGGGCTCTTTCCATCCCTCTTCCTGCTGTATCGATGAGGTTCTGTCTGCACACATGGCACCTGTGGTTCTGATACTTGAGTTGGCCAGGACTGTCTTTAATCCTAACACTAACTTAAGTGAATTGTTCTGACCCTGGTTTACTGAATCAGCAACTACAACCAGCTCATGAAGCTCAAAGGCAAGCTGGTATATTTTTTGGTACTATTATTATTTTTTGAGAAAGACTCTTACTGTGTGGCCTATGTAGTGACCTCCCAGTCCTACCCCCTCAGCTTCCCAAGTGCTGGTATACAGAATGAGCTACCATGCCTAGCACCTCACAAAAATAACTTGTAAAATCCTGCTTTTAGGTTAACATGAAAAGGCAAACTATTTTTATTTTTTAATTAATTGATTTATTTTTAATTTTATTTCAAGTACATTGGGCTTTTGCCTGTATGTGTGCTGGTGTAAAGGTGTCCAATCTCCTGGAACTGGAGTTCCAGACAGTTGTGAGCTGCCATGTGGGTGCTAGGAATTGAACTCGGGTCCCCTGGAAGAACAGCCAGTACTAACCCCTGAGCCATTTCTCCAGCCCCAGCAAAGTATTTTTAAAAGGCTAATAAAAAATATACTAAGTGTGACATCAGGAGTGACGGCTTCAAGTCATGTGAAGCAGTCACCCAGCTCAGCCCTTGACTTCTTGTTCTTCAAATCTTGAATCAAGGCGAGACCAATGGTGCGGGACACCGAGAGCTTATCCTTCCAGGCCAAGTCTTAAGGGGTTTCTCTTACAGCGGCAATAGCAGTTGTAGAGCTGGCAGTCTGGGTGTGATGATGGTTTACTGGGAGTGCATCTACAAGACAAGACCAGCCCTCTGCACTTCTTGGGGCCCCTACACTCATTCTTTCTCAGAAGTGTTTAGTGTCTGTCGCCATGGCAATTGCAGTGGCAGAATTGCTAAACCCAGAGCAGCTGAGCAATGTTGCGATCACCAGAAGATAAACTGCCCTTATATGTACACACTTGAAGACCGCAAGGGCCACCTCGGGGCCCAGTCTCTGGGTTTATCTTCTGCCCAGTATTGGTGAACTTTGGTTTTCACAGAGGAAGTCAGGTTAAAGTGGATGTTAGCACACAGTTGGTTCCAAAGGAACCAAGAGGACTGGGTGGGGGAACTTCAGGCTAGTCTTGTGGATAACAGCCTTGGATCTGTAATGTCTAGTTGCTAGAGACACCTCCCTCTTGCATACGATTGCTCAAAAGGTCTACAAAAAATCAGAATACTTGCAGATATGCAAAGGTTTTTAGATCTGAAGGAATAGAGGTAGGAGACTGGAAGGGTGTTAGTGGTGGGCTTTAGATTACAGGCATTTAAAATAAAATACCTTGGGTTGCCTACTATGTGTGTGAGCATATGAGCTAGCTTTGCTTCTGTTTATCATTGTCAACTGTGTGTGTGGAGCTATTTGTGAATCAGGTGTAAAAGATAAAAGAAACATGAGTAAGCTTTTTCCTTTTGCTTCGTTTCCTGCTATCTAGGTGGGAAACAACGACCTGACCCTGGTTAACCTTCAGCTGACAACCCTGGCCCTCCCAGGAGCTGAGAATTCAAGCAAGAATCACGGTGATGGCCACCGCTTGTTGAACTTTGCACTAACTCTACAGGAAACTCTGAAAGGTAGGAATTCTCTTTCTCTGTGACTGGGCCACACTTCAGGGCAGGCAGTGAGTGGTGCCTCTTTCCAGACATCTCTCTGGCCTCTTAGCCTAGACACTTACCAGCAGTCATGGACTCAGGGGCAACCACACTCCCTGCTCTCATGGATCCTGACTGACCTTTCTACCTAAGCCACCTTTGTGTTGAGGCCTCTCCAGCGGGTGTCAGATTGTCAGCAGTGTGGTCTCTCAGCCTCTTGGATAGAGAACTGGAGGAGCACATGTAAGTGGTGATTTTCCTCCCCTGTGACCGCACATTCTGGGCCACTCCTGTGGTGTCACCGCCTGCAGATCTGCACACGCTCTTGTGAAAGAGGAGCAGGAGGCAGGAAGGTGAAAGAATCGCCTCTGGAGACCTTGAGATCCCTCCCGTGTTCTTGAGTCTTGACTGCTCTCCTAGATTCCGAGACTTCTTGTCATCAACTTGTCCCATCACAGTGGGAGATTCAGTAAATAGTTAGCTACAGAAATGTTTCTGTCCAGTTATAACTTGCACTTTAAAAAAAGACATAAAACTTGTCATTATGGTGATTGGTAAGTGTGCAGTTCAGTGGCATTCAGTGCTTTCACCATTGTGCATCTGTCACCACCTCTCATCTCCAGAACATGGTCATTTTCCTTCAGAAACTGCACCCACTGAATCCTGATCATACTATCTTTCCGTATGTTCCATATCTTTCCAATATGTTCCATATGAAACAACATGTTTCATATAAGGACATGATATTTTTTCCCTTTGTCTGGTTTTTCTCTCTTAGCTTATATTTTCCAGATTAATGTGTTGTATTGTGTTGTAGGCGTTCCATCCTTTTGTGGCTAAATACTATTCTATTGGCCACGTGTGCCACATTTTATTGTTTATGCACACGTCTGTTGGTAGACTCTTCGTTGCTTCTGCTTTGGGGCACTATGAATATGAAGGTACAGGTGTTGTTTTAAGTCTGGACCTGCTCTGCTTGTATTCTACTTAGATGATGACTCTTCGGGCTGAGAAACAGTTGAGCGAACAGTTGAACCACAGTTCAAACTGAGACACCCCATCCAACAAGTAGTTGTGTGGGAAACTCTTCACTCACAGCCAGTCTCTCACCTATTCCAAGGATGGCTCGAGACTGTGCAGATCGGCAGACATTTCTATTCGTCTCTCTCTCAGAGATGCAGGAAAGAAAGATGCTGGTTCATAATTTTTCCCGATGGCCTTAAGCAGACACAGTTTGCCCCCTGGCTCCAGAGAAAACTCAGGACTTTGTCAGAAAGTTTCAGGCAGGTTCCACCTTGCCAAGGGACTATTGATTGACCCACAGCATGACTCAGCTTTGACACAGCCAGGTAGGGACAGTGACTCATACCCCCCATGTCCCTGCTTGTAACTAACGTCCAGTTAAATGTTAACTGGTGACCCAGCAGATTCAGGAAGTGCTCCAGCCTGCAGGAAAAGAAAATCGATGAGCTCGGGATTCTGTTCAAAGGAAGATAAAGCCTTTCCACAGAAAGAAAGAGCAGCTGCTTTGCAAACTCCAGGCCTTTCTGCCTTTGTCTAGAATGTGAATCCCAATTGGCACTAGGGGTCCCATGCTTGCCCTTTCACAGAACTAGCTTTGGAGCTAACAGGGCTTGAGGACAGGGTCTCCTAGAGTGCCTGCTCATGGCCTTGAGTAGGACAGGACGGCCCTCAGGTAGGAGTGCCCCTCAGTGGAGACCCGTTCCACTCATTGTTACTGGCCCTTTCTAAATCAGGAACTCAGGGAATGGTGACTAGGGAGCCCACCCGGGCATGTGACTATGAGGAGAATTTGGGCTTCTGTGGCTGCGCACTCTCAGGGGCAAAGCTGCTGCCTTGTCACCTCTGACACACATTTAGCCGGAAGAACAAGTCGTGAGAAATATGGATGCGCCCATTCAAAAGGAGCCTTTGTTTTCATGTGCCAAACTACACAGAGCTGGCTGCTTGGCCCCTGACACCAGCCTCCCTCCTGCTCGCTGAGTTGCATTTTCCCACCAATCCTCAGGTCTGCACCCCACTGAAAGCCTTCTTCATTTATATGGAATTGTGTGCCTCAGCTTCCCAGAACGCTGGGTTTCCTTACCCAGTCCATGTGGTAGCTTTTGCCTTTATTCAGAGGTCTTCCTCCTGCCACACTTGTTGGTTCAGCACAGGTTTATTGTCTCATGTGCAGCAGGCCCTGGTCTGAGTCTCATGTGTTAGGATGAACAGCAGCCCTGGACCTCTTCCTCCCTCCTCTTCGTGAAAAACTCTAGTTTTCTCCATGACTTTGGGCAAATTATTCAGTTTTCAGAGTCTGAGCTTTCTACCTGCAAAGAGGAGAAGGTGGCCTCACTTGGCTCATGGGAACTGTGGCCCTTAAATGACTTGCTGTCCAAAAAGTGGACCTCGTCACCAAGGGCTCGTTGACCCTGGTCATGTATGGATTGTAATCAGCAATACTCTCAAGTTGGTTTTACTGTTAGGAACTGGCATTGATTTCCCCAAAGAGCCCGGGCTCACCCAGATTTGTACTGTGCATGTGAGCTACATGTGAGGAAGGGGAGTAGCAGGAGAGATTCCTATGGAGTCCTGCTGGAGGAGGGCATCATTTGCAGCGCACAGGTGCCCCCTGCTGGCCTTTTGTGTCATTTCACTTTAGATGTCTTTCCCTTCAGCTGTTATTAATACTGCATACTCATACCAAAGAAAAGGAATTTGCCGAAGGGCTTGGGTATGCTATTTTGTTTCTGAACTGCTTTCTCTAAAGTGTCTGTCACATAGCGCATCAGAAACCTCATTACCTAGAGCCTGTGACCCCCCTACAGTGAACTCCCCACAAGGGTCAGCCCTGACCCTGGGAATCTGGCAGAGCCTGGCTAGTGGCCATTGTTCTTTCTGAATTCCTATGAACATTACGTGGGAAATACTTCATAATCATTCCATTTCCCACAGGCTGCGAGAGAAATGTTTAAAATACTTCAAAGAAACAGCCCTTCCACTCGGCCCCTGCCCTCTCTCTGTAGCCCTCCCTTATACACAAGGAAGTCATTTCTGCGGCTTCTTCTCTGTGAGATTCTTGTTAGTGTGACTCAGGGGAGCTGGAAGGAGGCTCGTGCTGCTTGGGAGATCCTATGCCAGGCATTCATGGGAACTCAGGTCTTCCACGTCCAACAGCAACCATCAGGAAATGCTGATGAGGTGGCAATGCCCAGAGTCACCCAGCTGCTTTCTTCTAGGACAGGGACAGGAAGCAGTGTTCACTGAAATGCTACTCTGTCGAGTTGATGTGCATAGCCACTCTGCTAGCCAGTGTGGGAAGCTGAGACAGGGCAACTCATATCCAAGGCCTGCCTGGATTACAGGGTGATCAAGGCCATCTTGGGCAACTTTGTTAGTACTTTGTCTCAAAGTACTAAGCAAAGAGAGGACTAGGTAGAGTCCTTGCCTGCAGGGTACTGCAGTCAGTCTCCTGTATGTGAAACGGAGAGAGGAAGTGAAACTGTGGTCCATGCTTATCATCCCAGCTGTGGATAATCATGCGTTCCAGTCCATGCTGAACTACACAGCAAGACCCTGCCAAGAGAGAGAGAGAGAGAGAGAGAGAGAGAGAGAGAGAGAGAGAGAGAGAGAGAATTAAAACCAGAGATAGAGGCGAACATTGGCTTGACATCATCGTCACTGTAGCGGGGTTTGAAATGCATCTCTCTGTGACTGAGGGTCTCTGTTCTTTAATGTATGCAGTGTCTGTAATCAGCTAGCGAGTCATTAGTACCAGAGGGGAGAAGAGTCTGCGCAGCACCAGCTCTTAGTTCCGAACACACCTTCAGGTCAGGGAGGTGGGGTTCCTTGGAGAAGTGGCTAACTGTGGGGCCGGGCTAGAAAAGATACAGATGATGCCGCAGCATTTTGGCGGGTCACAAAGAATGAACGCACTTGGACCAAAAACAACATGGGGAGAAAAACTGAAAGCTCCTTGGTGGAAATAAAAAAAAAACAAATGGAGTAACAAAGTAAATAAGCACAGTGCTGAATTATCACTCAGGGTTTAAAATAAATAATCAGGCGTTCATGCTCCTGTAAACAAATGCTTGGATGAATTAGTAAATTCTTGTGCAGATTTCTAAATAATTTGTGTAGGTACGCCATTCTTGAGAGCATGGAACACATCTTATTTTTCTGTGCAAACCGACCAAATGGTTTGAGTGGTGCTACTTGCTGCTGATGGGAGTGCAGAGAGACGTTCTGCACATTGCGGGGTTGACGTGGGACCAGCCTCTGGCAGTGAGGCCGGCAGCATCTGGAATATGAACAATGACCACACTTTTAACTGGTCCTCTGTACTAAGAACAGAAAGCAGGAACACAGATGCTTGAGTGAATTTCTCACTTCAGCGTTACTTGCAGCAGTAAATTTTTTGGGAAATCTAAGAAATGGCCTAGAACAGGAGGATAGTCAACTGTGTGCGTCGCTTTGGACAGTGAATGCCCTGAGTTGCTCACTGAGTGGGGGGAAGACACCCAGCCTTTGCCCTGTTTTTCATTGTTCTGACCTGATGCCCAGGTAGAGAAAACAGCCTGCCAATCAGAGAGTAGCAGCCACCTGCCTCTCTTGCGTGGAGGTCAGAATACAACTTACACTATGTGACGTATGGACATTAAACTCAGGTCACGAGACTTGGCAGCAGGCAGCTTTAGCTGCTGAGCTAGTCCACATCTGGCTTCTTAAACCTTCCTGCTGGAAGCATCCAGCTACTCCAGGATTTACCATACACCCCCAGAAACCAGACTGCTTCATTACTCCCAGCTCCCAAATACATTCCTCCCATCCTTATTGTCCAGACAGCTTCTATGCATCCTCTAAGACCAGGGCCAGCTGTCACCTGCCAGAAGCCACCTGGATACCCTCCTTGTGTGACATGCCCTTGGTACCTGTTTCTGGTTTTGAACCTACACTCTGCTCCTGGTGGTCTCCTCCTCTGTCTCTCTATTAGACTCTGAGGTCCTAGAGGGCAGGTGTTGTGTTTCCTTTATCCCTGACTCCCACACAGGCAGGCTCGGGGGAGAAGCTCAGTCAAGGTTTGCTCAACTTTTATTAGATATCTAAGCAAGGCCTTTTTCCTGTTTCCCACTGTAAGTGTAGGGCCTGGAGACTCAATGGGATGTTCCCCTCATTTTCAAATTATCCTGTGCTTAAAATCAGTGGGTACACAAAAATTACCAGTAGAATAAGAACTAGATCTGTGACCCCAACCCTGAGTGGCCAAGGCAGGGAGTCCCTGTCCCCTCAAGTGGCCAGGGCCACTGTTAGATTTTTTGCTTCCTACCTGCTATTTACCTGTTGATTTTCTTTCTTTCATTCCCAGGAGAAAAGGATGTTGTTATTTTAGGGGATTTTGGCCAAGGGCCAGATAGCAGTGACTATGATATCCTAAGGAGAGAAAAATTCCACCACCTGGTCCCGGCTCACACCTTCACCAACATCAGCACCAGGAATCCCCAAGGCTCCAAGTCAGTGGACAACATCTGGATCAGCAAAAGCTTAAAGAAAGTGTTCACAGGTAGGAGAAGTGTCCCCCATTCTGCCACCCCATGCTGTCTCTGTTCACTAGTGGGCTATGGACCTATAAGCATCTGAGGTGACCAATACTGTCTTCCATCTTCCCCAGATACTTACAGGGTTATGATAAAAGAAAGACTGTCATTGCTTTGTCAGAGGCACATCCAAGAGGGAAGGGCAAGTGACAAACAATAAGTAATTTAAAGGTAACCATTAGTTCATGTAAGCCTTTTAGAGGCAAACCCAGCCATGGTCACATCTGAAGGCCATCGGCTTTGGAGGCCAGGGCCTACTAGGTTCCCTGGAGGACACTTGTAGGAGGTGCTCCTATCAGGAATAGTGAATCTGAACCATTCTTTCCTCTGCCCCCACCCCCACCTCAAGGTGTAAAGGCTGAGGTGTAGGGACAAGTTCCCCCACTACAGCTGTCAGATATGGTACCCAGGCCCTTCAGATCTTACATTAACCCTGGTGTCACATATCACAGAGGACTGCAACACTGCCTTGTAATTGTTTTGCAATCATTGTTGTTTACGCATATGATACTAGCTCATGTCTTTCTGTGTTTACTTCAAAGGTATCATTACTTTCTCAGTAACCACTTCCTTTCTCTAGGAAGAAGCTATCCCGCTAGCCCCTCTTAAAAGTGATTGTTTGCTTTGTGAAGCAAATCTTCAGTTGGCTCTGTCAAATACTCATTCATCGTTAGCAGTGGAGTGCTTACTTAGTTTTAGGAGGCCCTAGGTTTAATCCCTAGCACTGAAAAAAAATAAATTAAAAATACTAATTCAACTCAGTTTATATTAAAAAAAGAGGGAATAATATTGGGAGGGAGATGTATTGGGGGGTCAGTGGGGTTGGGGAGACTGGGGTAGATATGAATAAGACATATTGTATATATGCATAGAAATGTTATGAATAAGCTAAAATATTAACAAAAAAAAGAGTGATTAAAAAAATCACTTAGTTTTGTTGCCCGTATTAGTGTCAGGTGTGAACAAGGAGTCGGTCCTCCTGCACCCTATTCGACTGGACAGGGGCCTGGTCTCCGAGTGCCTTCAATGTCTGTGCAGGAAAACTGCCATCTTCTATGCTGTGTGAAGAGTAAGATAAAATTGGCCCTGGGCTTTCGTTTGTGCCAGCCAGCTTACCAAGGAAGGCTACCAGGGCACCTCGACTTAGAGAGGAGCAGTGCCGATCAGCCCTTGTCCTAATTCGTGGTCTCTTCTCTCTCCAGGTCACTGGGCTGTTGTGAGAGAGGGTCTCACAAACCCATGGATTCCAGATAACTGGTCCTGGGGTGGAGTGGCTTCTGAGCACTGTCCTGTCCTCGCTGAGCTGTATATGGAGAAGGACTGGAGCAAGAAGGAAGTCCCCAGGAATGGCAATGGAGTCACCTTAGAGCGAAGTGAGGCCAACATCAAGCACGAGCGATGATGACATCACCGCTTTCACCCTCTGACTCAGGAGGGCAAAGGAAGGAGCTGGCTCTACAGGGTGAAAGATCTGGGGCCTGCGAGTCATCATTCTGAGGACATTAGCCTGGTCCCTGGGCCGCTTCCTACTTTGTGAACACTTTAGAACCTCTCCTGAGGGGAGCCTGTCAGGGGCTGGCTATGCCAGGCACCATGGCGAAGCTGGCTGGAACGGCAACGTCTTGGGGCTGGGCATCTGAGTTCTGGCTTGGGGCGGGGTGGCACTGCCAGCTGCATTGCATGGCGGCATGAGAAAAGCAAAGGAGGTGGAGTGGAGACGGGGCGATGGCTCAGGCTGACAAGCAATGCCACAGCTCTCATTTCTGCCTCGCCAGGATGCCGTGTTCTGCCGACCAGGTCCAGGAAGCTTTTAACTGTGATGAAAGCACTTCTCAAAGATTTTTAGTTTTGTTTTGAAAAAAATAATAATAAACATTATTCTGACTGGCTGCAGTAATGGTATGGGCTAGGTTGCCTTGCTCTGTCGCCTTAATCTGATCCTCCCTGTGGGCCATGGCCGCCCACTCACAAATGACTTTTTCTACCCTGTCCCTTTGTGTCCCTACCTGAGACCCTACCTTTAACATGCCAATCATCCTCATAATCTCCTCCCTCCCAGCTTCTCCGTCATCTATACTTCATCAGATTTCCTGGGAGGATCACTTAGCTTTAGTGCGGAACATGAATCCTATCAGAAACTCCCATTTCCTCCCACTTTCCACCATGTTCTTAGTCAGAGCTTTTCCTCTGCTGATTCTGACCCAGCCCTTTGTATCAGCAGATTCTGTACTACAGAGCCAACCAACCACAGAGGAAAACATATCTTTATATTGTGTCTGTGCTGAACAAATACAGTCTCTTGTCATCATTCCCTAAACGATACAGTGTAACCGATTTATAGGATTTGCATTGTCTTGGATGTCTTCATGTTGTTTGGATGGTTTACCGTGTGAGAAGATGTGGGAAGGCAATATGCAAATACTGTACCATTCTGTGTAAGGGACTTGAATATCTTGGGATTTTGTGCTTGAGAAAGAAGAGTCTGGGAACCAGTTCCCTATGGATATAAGGAATGATTGCCGATTGAGGCTGTGCAGGAGGCTAAACCTGAGTGCATCATCAGGGGAGGGGCCTCTGTGGGAGGGGTTGAAGGGCAAGCAAGAATAAGTGAACTTCTCTGAGGTCCTTTTATGAAGTATTTATCTAATTATTCTTTATCAATAAAAACGGGGTTTTTATTGGGGTAAGAATCTGAATGATCAGAGGTGGCAGAAAAGCAACCAATGACCTTCTCTCTCTCTTGTTCCTTGATTCGAAAAGGCCAAGGCTCTCTCTAAGTCCTGCCCTACCACTTCCTGTGTCTCTCTTTCCTCAGTCCTGCAATGACTGATCTTGGCCAGCCAGTATCTTGTTTCCCTCTCTGATGCAGAGCAAACTTTATTGTCATTCTCGAGAGCATCAGAATGCGGTCAGAATATCCCACAGCACTCTTCTTTTAGCTTGAGCCAGGATTGGTTTGCTTTAGGCACATTGTACGACAGTTACAGTGACTCCAGGGTTATATTGCCCACTTCACACTCCTGACAGTCACTCAACCAGTAAGTAAATAAATGGATTCAAACCGAAGATTCTCTGGATCTAAAACCCGCTCACAATGTCAACTCCTCACTTAACATGGATGTAAAGTAATAAAAATGAAACATAAATCTTGGTCTTACATTCTCTAGGTCATTCCCGTCTTCTGTGGACTAAGGGTGTATTATCTTTTCTACACCAAGTGCAGCATGACCCAAGACAGAGAACCTGTCCCTGTCACCGAGCAGTTGTGTCTTCATCCCTGTCTTGTCAGCTTTATCTGGAGAGCTATGAACAATGCATGCTCACCACCAACAGACCCAAGTCTAGCTTGGTGAACAAGGGACTTGAATTTACTTACAGAAACCTGGGGAAGCAGCTGCACCACTGAAGAAAAGCCTCCTTTCCAGCCATCGTTAGCCCTTATCTTTGAGAGGAGGGGTGGAGGCCCCCCCCCCCCGTGAGGTTTTATGTGTCGCCTCTGAGCAAATCCCTTGTGCGATGCCTTGTGTAGCTTAGGAACCCTTGCTAGGGCGTGCTAGTGTGTCCTAGCACTAGTGGTACTAGTGGTACCAGAATGCAGGCCAAAGTCTCAGTCCTAAAACATCCCAACAGACCAGGCTCAGGGACACATCCCAGAGAAACAGCCCAAGGCCCACAGTACTGAAAGCAGGTAAGAAGCGTGAGACAGTAGGAAGAAGGGAGTAAAGACCCGAAACCTGGTTCTCGAGCGCCCACTGTGATCACAGCGCTCTGGAGGAAAGCAGGGAGGGTGATGACCACCCTTCCCCCGCAGTGGTCCCGATTGTCTTAGTCTGGCCATGGTGGTTTCCTTGGGCCCTCTCTCCGGGTCCCCATTCAGGGCTTTGTGCAGCGTTGCTCACTCTGTGGCCTGGCAGGGGTGGGAGCGGGGTAGTTGGTTCTTTGTCTTAAGGTGTTTGTCTGCCAGGACTTTAGTTCTTGTGAGGTAAAGTAACCAGGGGGAAAAACCCCTGGAGGAGGAGGTGCACTTGGTGTGAGGGAGAGGTGGATGCTCCGGAGCTCGGAAGGAAGGAGCTGAAGCAAGATGGGACTGCCATCGACTCCGTCAGATCCCCATCAAGCCTTCCCATTTCAGCAGGAGGGGGCTGGAGGCAGAGCACTCTCCATTTCTGCCAAATGCGAATCATTCTTAGACCATCTAGACCACCCTAAAGTCAACCCCCGTAAGTCAAATGATAAGTGGGACCATTTGTAACATGGCACATATCACATTACAGCTTCGCAAGCAATACTTTTCCACGCTGTCTTAGGGTTTCTGTTGCTGTGATGAAACACCATGACCCAAAAGCATGTTGGGGAAGAAAGGGTTTATTTGGCTTACACTTCCACAGCACTGTTCATCATCAAAGGAATTTAGGACAGGAACTCACACAGGGCGGGATCCTGGAGGCAGGAGCTGATGCAGAGGTCCTGAAGGGGTGTTGCTTACTGACTTGCTTCCCATGGATTGCTCAGCCTGCTTTCTTACAGAACCCCAGGACCACCAGCCCAGGGATGGCGTTCCCCCACCCCCATCAGTCACTAATTATGAAAACGCCTTACAGTGGGATCTTAAGGAGGCATTTCTCAATTGAGGTTCCCTCCCTTCAGATAACTCTAGTTTGTGTGGAGTTGACATAAGAGCAGCCAGCACACACACCTTGTAGCTTGTGGAAACTCCTGGTCTGTCTTCACAGTTTCACCTTTCCCAGCGCTTCATAGATTTGGAATCATACAGAAAAAATTTCTTCAGAGTAACCTTTTCTCACAGCATTTGATATTTCTTCCTTCCCTCCCTCCCTCCCTGCCTTTTTGGTTGGTGTGTGTGTGTGTGTGTGTGTGTGTGTGTGTGTGTGAGAGAGAGAGAGAGAGAGAGAGAGAGAGAGAGAGAGAGAGAGAGAGTTGGGATTCTCTCCCTCCTTCCTCTCTTTATTCTCCCCTTCCTCTCCCCTCTCCCTCCCCTTCTCCCTCTCCCTCTCTTGTTAAACTATATCCCCCAGTATGGAACTGCTCTGCTTTCCCTTGAATTGACTTCTTCTAAACCTTGTCCTCTCCAGTGTCCTCCCAGTTCAGCCTCAACTTTGTCTGTACAAATGGTCTATACACCATTTGATTTCCTCCTCTCCTTTTGGTTAATTTCTTTTCGTGCCTTCCAGCACTTCCAGATAGTCAGAGAAGCCTGCCTGTGAAGGATTTCAAGGGAGAAGCAAATGGGAGCCTTTGGACAGTAGCCCAAGTTTTTGGAAGTAAAGCTATTAGATAACTAGAGGCTGTTAACGTCAGCAAGCACGGAGTGGAAGCCTCCAGAGTTTTCCATTATTGGTACATCTCAGTGGGCTGTGTTCTCCCTGCCCATTGTCGGGAGAGCGGGTCAACTTCACTTCTGTTAGGAGGCACTTTGCAATCTGCAACCACAACGCTGCTGGTTCTAGTCAGAACGTACTCTGTCAAGAAACCGAGGAAGAATGACTGAGGACAACCAGATTCCCTCTTGACCCATGAGATGGTTCTCTTGCTGCTGCTCCAGGGAGCCAAAGGAAAGCAAAAGCAATCTGTGCCCTTCAGACACAGACACACTTTTTTTGAGTTCCTTTGGATTGGACCTGTTTCTCACTTTGTGCATAGTCAGGGAAGGATGGGAAGACAGAAAACTCCTGAGTCCCAGGCCAGGAAAGGAGCCCCCACTCTGGAGTCTCAAGGAATCCTTGAGAATCAAGGATTCCTGTACAATTAACCTTTGCTATGAAGGCTACCAACATAGAAGAAGTATTTTCTAATTAAAATGTCAATATAGCAATAAGTCAGTTTTAAAATATGATGTGTATGACCTATGTCCTTGAGTCGGGACCCAACTCTCCTAAGTATTTTCTGAGAAACTCAACAAAATTAGTACTTTTTTCTTAAACAATGAAAATATCCTACCTGCCCATGTTTCTCACGTAAGCGTTCTACCAAGAATGAATCTAAGGAGCTGCCTTTGCCTCTTTTACTGGGGGCAGGGGAATTATTGGATTATTGAAACAATGGACTCTTCAAAATTGGAAATTCCCTAGAAATCTCATGCCAGGAGAAGGAAAATACTGAAGCCTGGAGCCAGCCCACTGGGAAGCTTTTCTCTTGGGAAGAGATTTACATGGCATGCCAGCTTGGAGTAGAGTGGAGACAATAACAGGACCACGCCATAGCTGGGCCAGCTTACTTGTGAATACCCCTTCCCCTCTACTTAAACCTCCTGTTAGGATCCTGAAAATGTGCTAGGGTAAGAGAGGTCATTAGACTTCTTTGTTCCTTTTCCCACTGTTACCACATTAAGTTATCTCCTTTTTTTTCTTTTTTTACTATTACTTTGCCTCTGTAAGAGGCCTATTGAAGGCAGTTGCCAAGCCCATGTGGTTAGGACTTCCAGGGCCCAGACTCTGACCTGAAAAACCCCAGTCACCATTTTGGTGAGCCAAGCAGGAGTCAAACCCACATATCCTACAACTCTGGTAATGCCTGCATCCTTAGATGCGAAAGTTTTCCCTATTCATTTAATATTGTCAGCTATACCCCAGGAAGCCAGCCTGTGATCTCATTTGAATCACTGAGCCACACAATGAGCTGTAGAAACTGCCCACATCCTAGCTATGACAAAGACAACAAAGTGCAAATCCCTCCGAGATGTCCGCACCCATGCTCCTGGGTGTGCCTTCCTCTTCTTCTGACTGCAGCTCCTGCCGTCAGCGTCAGGTCATAACCTGTTAAGAACACATCCAGTAAGCTCCCACGTCTGCTTGTCTTCGGCTGGCTTGGTTTGAAATGCTTTTCTGTGGAAAAGCCAAGATCTGCTATTACCTGAGTGGTGCTTCCTAAATGACGGCA